AATATTAGCTGAAAAGTCTAAATGATCATCTCTATGTAAAAGGAAATAGAGAATGAGGGCAGGGTAGCAAACTGATATTTTCATAGCAGAAGCTGTAGCACTAATTGGCTGTTTAAGCTTTATTTTTCAAATAAACTTTTAACATAAGTTTAAATTGAATAATAATACAGATGCAGTTATACACAACAACATGGATTGTCAAAAATATGTTAGGTGAAACAAGTCAGACACGAAAAAGATCTCCAACTAATCCAGGTTGTTAAAGTCACAGTAGTGGCTCCCTGTGTGTGTGTGGTAGGGCAGGAGGAGGGAGATGGCTGGAAGGGGGCCACAGAAGAGTCCTGGTAATGGTCTGGGTGCTAGTTACTTGGGTGTTTACTCTGGGAAAATTCATCAAGCTGTGAACATTTGTGACTTACGTACTTTCTTTAGGTAGGTTGTACTTAATAGAATCTATCCTCCAAATAATAATACAGGTAATTAAACTTGTAGATTACCATGTCATTATTCACAGAGATGTCTGTAACAACTCTCCATGTCTTCAAGCCTATGGGAAAATAATGTGCAGAAAATTTTATTCATTTGTTACTTTTTAATACTTTCTAGAATAGACTGACAGTTAAGCCCATATTTGGATTTTGAGGATAAATTTTTATGATAACCTCCGGTTATTACTATAAAAGTAGGGGTTGGCAAACTACAGAGTGGGTTAGATCCTTCTCATCTCCTGTTTTGTGTGTCTTTGAGCTTAGACCAGTTTTTTACATTTTTAAAGTGTTGTTAAGAAAAAGTGGGAGAAGGGCACCTGGGTGGCATAGTTAGTTAAGCATCTGCCTTTGGCTCAGGTCATGATCTTGGAGTCCTGGGATCAGTGGGGAGTCTACTTCTCCTCTCCCTCTGCCCCTCCTCCTGTTCGTGTTCTCTCTGTAATAAATAAGTAAAATCTTTAAAAAAAAAAAAAATCTTAAAAAAGTAAGTAAAATCTAAAGTAAGTAAAATCTTAAAAAAAAAAGTCTTAAAAAAAAGTTGGGGCGCCTGGATGGCTCAGTTGGTTAAGTGACTGCCTTCGGCTCAGGTCATGATCCCAGGGTCCTGGGATCGAGCCCCGCATCAGGCTCCCTGCTCCGCAGGAAGCCTGCTTCTGCTTCTCCCTCTCCCACTCCCCCTGCTTGTGTTCCCTCTCACGCTGTCTCTGTCAGTTAAATAAATAAATAAATAAATAAAAATCTTAGAAAAAAAACTGGGAGAAGGAAATGCAAGAGAAATTACATGTGGCCTACAAGAAGCCTAAAATACTCTCTGGCTTTTTAAGTTTGCCAACAGTTGTCCTAGAACACAAGAAAATGCCTGTTATCCTGGGAGAAAGAAGCCATGAACATTCTAACTAGATGCAGTACAGGTTTAAAAACAAAAACAAAACAACTCAAAAAAGGCAACTTCTGAAAACAGTTAAAGTATTTTTTAAATTGTAATTTTGGTTAAGGTGGTTAGACCAGTAAAAAGGAGTTTTCATTTGTGGTTAAGCTTGATTTGTTCCTATCTGTTGCAGGTTGTAGGTGGCCTAGATATCCACAAAAAGATGGTGGTAGATGTGTGACTCTTTTTTAAAGAGTACCACCCAACACTTTTGCTTTCTTCTCCATCTCTGAAGATCTGCTCAAGACGTCCAGCAATGCTCTCTGTGTATTTAAATGGAAGTATTTTTCTCTGTGAAGCCACATTTTCCATCACGAGCCTCATGAAGCCAACTAAGTGTTATTGAACTCTAATTCTCTCAATAACTCAGTGTAGCACTTTAAAGTCTGAAGGACAGCAACATGAAAAGAGCATATCAATGTGGTGAAGAAAGGGAAGGGGTTGGCTTTTTAATTTATTTTTCTTCATCTTTTATAACAAGAAAGTATCTATATATACATATGTAAATATTTATATATAGATATATGTAGCTTTCTATATGTGTAGTAGGTTGGCTTTAATTTAATCTACTTGATTCAGAAACAAAATGATAGAGTACAAAAGTGCCAAGCAGAACATAAAACATCCTTACTTTTATTTCACACAGTTTTATATATAGATAGAAAATTGTACGATTTGAGCCGGGTGTTAGGCCAGCTGTTTTCCTTTTCCTGCGCTTTCTCCTTTGAGAGATTGACAAAGCATTTGTTAACGTCCTATTATTTACCTTAATTACATTTTTTGTAACAAAGGAGTGTGTAATTTTCTTTCTACCTATGAATATATTTCCAGGGACTGTGTCTCATTGCTGAGCAGCTTTTACTACATCTCTGCTTGAGGACAAAGTATAGTGCAGTGCTTCTGCCAAGAGCTCATTCTTGTGTTCATATAGTAACTGCACAGAGCTTGTGGCTGCTTCGTTACTTCTTAACTAGGAGCCATTACATTTAGTAAATGTCCCTGAGTCAATGTAAGTTACCAGTTATGGAAAGGCCAGAAGCCATCTGAGGCAATCACGATTTTCCTTAGACATTTCTTAGTAATACCTGAAGGAAATCACATAACTACTTAGGATATCCATTCGTTTCAGTATGTAGGTAATCAGTTTGTCATTAAACTTACCTTTGAACCATAAATTTCCCTTCTGTTTCAGAAGGCTTACAGCTCATCTAAAAAACTGGTGATACTTAATGTGCATGTATGTATCTGAACGCTCACATATATTTGTGATGTAAATGGAAGAAGTCGTACTAATTTATATGCCATGGAAGAGCAAAATTTTATCCAAATTTATACCCCTTGAATTTCTTTACCACAAGGCATAGAGAGTGCATGATGGTTTTCTTTCTTGATTTGCCCATATTTGTAATGGATGCTAACTTACTAAATGTGTGATATAAAAGTAGCGTATCATGTTCCACCACTTGATATTATCCCTTCCCTTTTCTGCAAAGGTACTATTGGCTGGAAGAAAACATTTTGGTTAGCTTTCTAGGACAGTAGTCTTCCCCGGTATAGTTTTTCTAGAAAAGCGGTTTTATAATCTTAAGTGGAAAAGGGCAGGTTGAATCAAGGTAAATGAATCTTAAATTGGGCACACCTGCCTGCCATCGCTGTTCCTTCAACTGAGTGCTGCACATCATGGGCTCTGTCTGTGAGAGAAAAATCCCGGTGCTTGGTGTCCTTGCATGACATGGAGTTTTGCATGTAGATCAATTTAAAATGTACCTCTTGTTTACATAATTTGCATAATTTTAAAAGATAATGTTGCCAAACTTTGGAAATGTTAATGTTCAAACTGAAAATCTCCACTACATGTAACTTTCTTCCTCTGGATCAGTACGTGGCTTATAATCCCAGCCAGTGGTTTGATCTGTTCCAGTGTCAACTGCCATGTGCTCTGCTTCAAGGGGGAACTAGTCTTTTGTGAATTTTTTGTACATAAGTATTTGTTACAAATATTTTAGCAAATGCTTTCTATTTCTCTTGCTTGTGCATTATCTTGGCTGGCGTTACAGAAAAATAGTGCAAACATTATTTCCTTACTAGGGAATGAGGGTTTTTTTTTTTCCCCCTTTCCTTTTTTTTTTTTTTTTTTTTTTAGTGTGGGTGGGGGCGGTTTATGTTGAATGTTTAGTTTTTCTTCTGCATGAAATGTCATGTTGTGGGATCTTTAGAAAACTTCCTACTGTATGAATAAGAAAATAAAATATTTGAAACTTGCTGGAGTGTGTTCACAATCGTCTTTGGTGAGCTTCCACAGCCATTAGATACTTTTTTTCCCATGAGGTAGTCTTTTCTCCATTCTTTTGGATTTAAAAAATAACCTGAAAAATTGATGTTTAATATTTGACTATAAGCCGTAAGTAAAGATAAATCTGTTTTATCACTGGTTAAAAACACAAGTCATTACAACAACCTACAAAGCCCTACCTCATCGCTTTACTACTCACCCTTCCTCTGCTTCCAGCTGCCTTCGCCTCCTGTGCTTCCTGGAGCTTTGGACCTGCTTCTGCTGTGGGCCTTTGTACCATCTCCCCAACCAGAGACCCCACAGCTGATGCCACCAGGTCTGTTCAGGTATGTCCTGGCTCCACGGGGATGACGCTCCTGGCCACCCCACGTAAACAGACTCCTACACCTGCATCTCCCTTACTCCACTCTTTTTTCTTCCAGAGCATTTTCCCTCTGCTGACAGAATTTACTTAGGTATTTTGTAGATTTGTCTTCCCTGGTTATTGAAATAAAACGAAAACTCCACAAGGGCAGTGATTTCTTTTTCTGTCCCTTGTCCACCAACAGCCTCAACTGTCTAGGATTCTACCTAGCTCGTAGTGTTTGCTAAGATTAAACACTTACTTTAAAGACTAATACTTAAATACTTACCAAATGAGTATTTAAATAGGCAGACACTAGTTAAAACAGGCTCTTGCATTTGCAGAACATTGTGGTTTTCTTGGTAAAAACGTTCTTTTACCATATTTCACCTTCACCCGAACATTGGTAAGGTCTGACTACTTTCACTGAATGCTTATTTGAAAAATAAAATTTTCCTCACATCAACCTTGTGATGTCTTTAGTTTTATAAGCTACAAAAATTAGCCTTTGTTCACAACAGTATCTCCAAACTGCTGCTTCTAAAAAGCCCACATACCACCCAGTATTAAGGGTCAGGATTCAGAGCGATTTTGTAAGCTGATTCTTTTAAATACACTCCATAGACAAGAAATGTTTATAAATTTATAAGAAGTTACAAATTTATAAATTCATTTAGGACTGTTTAAACAAGTTCCCAGTAAGAGAATTATAAACTATGCAAATCTTTTATTTAAAGTGAAGTGATAAATTATAATTAATGTATAATTATGGTACTAAATTCAGATATGGGAATTATCCTCAAGTTGCTGCATGTGAGTATTAGCAAACCTTTCTGTTGATGCTTCTGGCTGAGAACAGAAGAAGCGATGGAGGCTTAAAGTGACTGAAAAGTTCTTCTCTTGGTTTCTTATGACCACATGCACAGGACAAGGGCTTTTTCTCTAGAGTCCAAAGACAAGATAAAAAGTCTCTGATTTGAAATCAGAATCGATCTGCTGCTCTGCTAGCCACAGCTCGGATATTGCCATAAACCTTTGATGGAGGATTTCCTGCAGAGGAAAATAAACATATCTATACAAATATACTCAGATATATAGAAGACACATGGAAAGCAGTCTACAACTCTAAAGAGCACATTTTCCAGTGGGTCTCTTTTAAATCAACAAAAGAATCATAAACCATACCCAAACATTCTCCAAAAATACTTTAAATCCTAAGAGTCAAAGACACCAAATTGTCTAAATATTTTAAAAAGGAGCTGGTCAGTCAGATCTGGGCACTGATGGAAAATCCCATTTAGAGCAAGCTGCTACAATCCTATAACTCATACCAGAAGTTACTGACTTTGCTGCACAGTTTGAAAATAGGACTGGGGCGCCTGGGTGGCTCAGTCGGTTAAATGTCTGACTCCTGGTTTTGGCTCAGGTCGCGAACCCAGGGTCGTCAGATTGAGCCCTGCACTGGGCTCTGCACTCAGTGCAGAGTCTGCTTAAGATTCTTTCCCTCTGTCCCTCCTCCCACTCGCTCATGCTTGCTCGCTCACTTTCAAATAAATAAAAATAGGACTAAGTGCATCAATTAAGTTGACTGATGGTGATCAGCAGCTCTCTTTTCGTTGAAACCTAAACCACACTGCCTGCTATTCTGGAATGGCTTCACTGCATCTCTGGGGAAAGCAGCAAAGATATAAGCAATATAACCCAATAAACCCCTTCTTTTCTCTAGCAAATTGATGAAATCTAAGCAAAAATATTTTTTTTTCCTTTAGGCCCACATTTGCCAACCACTAAGAGCTTCTACTTGCAATCTTTAACATTATGCTTAACTTGAACTGATGTGCAAATGTGGTTTGAGTTCTAAATTCCCTATTTTCTTTCCAGAGAAAACACCCAATGAGTAAATTATTATTACCCAGGATGAGGTTGCAAATGGCAGTTCTTGCCATCTTGATGTTTTGAAAAGAGCCAAGGATGTGAACTTTCCTGCAAGAGAGAATATGGGACGAGTTAGCAACAAAAGCACTTCCTTAACTGAATCCCATAATCCAGAAACTCTGGAAAATCATGATAGATACAGATTCCTAAATAAAGATGGTTGCACAACTCTAAGGACACTAAAAATCACTCTGAAGGGGAATTCTATGGTATTTAAATTATATCCCAACAAAAATTAGAAAAGACAAAAAATTTTAAGAAACCAAGAATTTTTTAAGATTCTTGGCTAATAATGGCTAGTTGACATCAAGTGAGTGCTTTTTATGTGCTAGGGCTTTATGTGTTCCCATTTAATCCTCACGTGAGCTTTATTAAGGTAGATGGTATTTCCATTTTATAAATGAGGAAAGAAATTTGCAAGAAGTAAAAAAGTCTGCCGAAGATTACACATTGGCAGAGCTGGTATTAAGTATCCAGAAATGCAAGTAACACTGTAATTAAAACATCTGGGTTTCAACTGCAAAGCTTTCTAAAGGTAATCTAAATTTCTTCACTATTCAGTGAGGATCATCCAGACCCTACAAATAGAAATTCCTGGCTGGCAAACAAGATGGACAATAGTATTTTGACTTTTTGAGCCCATCTTCCAAAATGTCAGTAAACTAAATTGTCAGTGGGAACATCAAGCAGAGCCCTCTCATCCAGACAGGCTCAGCCATTTCTGGAAGTGGGGACAAAAATGACAAAACCTGTTCAAGATGATCCCTAGATTTTCTTCCCCACTCTGTGTAATCAGGCAACCACCCCCCGTAACTGGCAAAATTATGGGAGGGGAGGCAAGGTGTTGCTCCCTGGGAAAGGTAAAAGACATGGTATCTGGACCAGGGGTACCAGGTACAGCTGAAGTAGGAATGCCATGTTAAAAACGGGCAATGGGAAGCAAGTATCTGCACACTGGACGTTGAGACGTCCAACTATCTTCCATAACCAGGCTTCAAAGTCTGGCAGCAAAGAGCCTGGAGAATGCTTCTCTCAGGGAACCTGACCTGCTCAATAAAAAAGACCAAAGGAGGGGCGCCTGGGTGGCTCAGTCGGTTAAGCGGCTGCCTTTGGCTCAGGTCATGATCTCAGGGTCCTGGAATCAAGCCCCAGATCAGGCTCTCTGCTCAGCGGGGAGTCTGCTTCTCACTCCCCATCTATACTCTCCCTCAAATAAATAAAATCTTAAAAAAAAAAAAAAAAAGACTAAAAAATACATCAGAAACAGCCTGGCAATCACCCTAAGTGAAGCCTACAGTCAACCCGCCACACTCCAGACCCCATGAGCTCAGGGCTTCTGGTCTGCTCTTTCCTGCCTCACTCGTGTACATCTGGCACACACACACACACACAGATCCCCAGACTCTTGACGAAAGCATCTACTACAAAAAAAAAGAGGCTACAACCAGCGAGGTGAAGAAAGAGAAACAGAGACTACGGGGAGAAAAGAATGAAAACAGCAAAAACAAAATCAAATCAGTAAGGTCAGAAAAGCTATTTTCATGCACCCATGAATCAAGGGCATGATGTTAAGAAAAACAAATATAAGAATTAGAAGATCGAGAAAGGAATTCCAAAGAAAAGGAAGACCAAAGTAATTCAAGAAAATTTCTGAAAATTGTAGAAAATGAGTTTCTAGTTTCAAAGAGCCCAGTAAGAGGAGTAAAAATAGACCTGCACTAACACATAGCATTATGAAATTTCAGAACACACCGGATGAAGATACTACAACTGCCAGATGGGACGCTCCAAGAATCAGGTATAAAAATGGTGCTGGACCTCTCAATAGCAACACTGAAAGCTACGATACAGCAACGTCTTCAAGATTCTGAATGGATGTGAATTATATAACAGAACTGTATAGTAAGCCAGGAGAGAGGACACCTTTGGAACTAGAAGTTCTCAAATAATGTTAGCTAGCTAAGCTAGCTCCTGGACTATATACAGCACCAAAATAAGGAGTACTTGGGGGGGAGCGTGTGCAAAAATGAATAAAGGGGGTCAAACAGCGTAAACTTCCAGTTAGAAAAGAAGTCCCAGGGATATAATGTACAGCATGTCAAATATAGTCAATAATACTGTGCTACATAGTGGTAAATTGCTAAGAGTAAACCTTAAAAGTTTCTACGCACATAAAAACAAATTTGTAACTGTGGTGATAGATGTTAACCAGACGTACTGTGGTGCTCATTTTGCACTACATACAAATATCAAATTAAAAAAGAAAAACAAAAAGAAAAAAAGAAAAACAAAAGAACCATAAGGAGTACTCAGGAAAAAGAATCCAACAACCAAGAGATTCAAACAGCAAAAGGGCAAAGGTGAAAGGAGAACCTAGGACGCCAAATGGGCACCAGGCAGAGAGGAGTAGTGCTTCTGAGAAAGCAGGCTCCAGGAGAGGTTGCTCAAATGTTTGATATATCTGGATGCAACAACATACAGCTTTTTACTGAATTTTACTGATAGTCAGAAAGCACAAACATAAATAAGAATTCTTTTTTCAAGTGAAAACAAAGTGGTAAAGGACAGAACAATCACAGTTATCACCTGGCCCAGTGTTAATACACTAAGCACTGACCCTGTACTCAGGTAATGCTAACACTGGTCTTAGAAAACCCAAAATGGGGACGCCTGGGTGGCTCAGTTGGTTAAGCGACTGCCTTCGGCTCAGGTCATGATCCTGGAGTCCCGGGATCGAGTCCCACATCGGGCTCCCTGCTCAGCAGGGGGTCTGCTTCTCCCTCTGACCCTCCCCTCTCTCATGTGTGCGCTCTCACTCATTCTCTCTCTCTCAAATAAATAAAATCTTAAAAAAAAAAAAAAAAGAAAAGAAAAGAAAACCCAAAATGTACAGGGGACGTAGGGAGGGATAAGTAAACTGGATGTCAGAAGGGCTGAGTACATGGGGTGGAAGTGGGGGGAGAGATGAATAAAAGCTAAATTTTCATCTTTCATGGTAGAAAGTCAATGGTGAAGCTAAAAAAAAAAATCAAGAAGCTGGTATATAAACAAGATATTTGAAAATATGGAGATAAATAATTTTTAAAAATTACCTAAAAGAGCTGAAATCAGTTCCTCTGAGGAAGTGGAAATGGAGGTAGACGGAAGAAATCTGGGGCTTGCTCAAGTATGTGTATGTCTAATTTTGATAAAAATCCTTGACAATAGCGCAGGAAAGATGAGAAAACAGTGAGCATACATGAAGTGTGAGTGGTTTTGCTGTCGAAACCACCAAAGTGGTGGGGCAGTGGCCACAATGGTATAGAGGTCTCAGGACATACAGGCAACGTTATCTCCCATCTGATGCACTGAATATACAGGGAATAGTTTTTAGCTTTTTATCTTGCTCACATCATACTGTATTTTACCAGGTTATCAGCAACTCATCAAAAACAACAGTTATGGGTACATACTAGTCCACATTATGGTTACATCATAATAAATGGATGAACATGTGGATTTACAATTAGCCTATTTATACTGAACACTCAAGACAGTATACTCAATTTCAAGTAATACGGAATTCACTTTGGAAAAAAAGATATAAAAATTCAGTAATAGCAACATTATTCAGAAGAGCCCCAAACTGAAAACAGCCCAAATGTCCATCAAATGTGAATGGATAAACAAAATGCAATACCTTACAATAGTACTTGGTGATAAAGAGGAATTACTGACACACCTAACAAAATGGAGAAACTGAAAACAGCATGCTAATTAAAAGAAGTCATACACCAAAGAATGCATACTGTGTATTTCCATTTATATAAATTTCTAGAAAAGGCAAAACCATGACAGAAAGTAGATCAGTGATTGCCTGGGACTGAGGTGGGATCACAGGACTATAGATTTACCCAAAACTCGGGCGCCTGGGTGGCTCAGTTGGTTAAGCGACTGCCTTCGGCTCAGGTCATGATCCTGGAGTCCTGGGATCGAGTCCCACGTCGGGCTCCCTGCTCAGCAGGGAGTCTGCCTCTCTCTCTGACCCTCCCCCCTCTCATGTGCTCTCTCTAATAAATGAATAAATAAAATCTTTAAAAAAAGATTTACCCAAAACTCACTGAAAAGGATACTAAATAAGGTAATGTTTTTTTGTATGTAAATCATACTGCAGTAAAGCTGTTAAAAAAATTAGTTCAACTAGTAAATTTTACGTTAACACTTATCAGTATACTTAGAATTTAATACATCACAACATCCATAATTTGATTAGCACATCAGTTACATTTTTAGATTTCTAAATTAACAAAAGTTTTTAGGGCTACGTATGATGCTTTCAAATGTGGTATGCATTTCAAAATATTTTAAAATGTCTAGGTCAGAACAAGCTATCCTCGTGGCTCCATACTCCCAAGTCTAGGCTCCCCTCACAAAGATCAAAATTATAATAAACCTGTCTTCCAGTAAGAGGGCCATCAACATGGCAGTATCATTATCCCTCGAGTGTAAAAGAGTCTAAAATGTAGGTTCTAAAAAATGGTGAGCCTGAGTTTAGAGCCAAGATAGCATGATTTTTTTATTTTTTTAAAGGTTTTATTTATTTGACAGAGAGAAAGACAGCCAGAGAGGGAACACAAGCAGGGGGAGTGGGAGAGGGAGAAGCAGGCTTCCCGCGGAGCAGGGAGCCCGATGCGGGGCTCGATCCCAGGACCCTGGGATCATGACCTGAGCCGAAGGCAGATGCTTAACGACTGAGCCACCCAGGCGCCCCTATAGCATGATTTTAAATAAAATTATTTCTGGGTTTAGCAGCAGGCAGGTCCCTCCTCCTGTCAGTCAACTGCTTCGTTCCCCAACTTCATAGCACATGGTGTTATATAAGCTTGGCGCCATCTGCCAGCAACCCCGACCTGGCCCCGCAGCATCTTCAACCCCCGCCAGGGCTAATCCCAGCTCCACTTCCTGCACCCTTATTCTAAGCCCTTATCTTCTTTCTGTTCACATAGAGCTGCTCTCGAGTTTTTCACCCAACGTGCAATGCTCATCGTCCTTTTATGAAAGGCCTTTATATATAGTTTTAAAATATTTATATAGAGTTATACACATATATTTCTTTCTTTAAAAGGAAATTCACAGTGGCATTGAAAACACCCACTCCTTGCTCTCTCCTACTGATTTAAGTAGGAGTCCCCTCTGATACTATTTAAATTTTCATCTCTCAGGGCGCCTGGGTGGCTCAGTTGTTAAGCGCCTGCCTTCAGCTCGGGTCATGGTCCCAGGGTCCTGGGATCGAGCCCTGCATCGGGCTCCCTGCTCAGCGGGGAGTCTGCTTCTCCCTCTCTCACTCCCCCTGCTTGTGTTCCTGCTCTTGCTATCTCTCTATCAAATAAATAAATAAAATCTTAAAATAAATAAATAAATAAATCTTCCCCTATCATGTAACTTCTTTTAATAGTAATTCTTAAACATTCCTTTTTTTTTTAAATATTTTATTTATTTGAGCGAGAGAGAGAATGAACATGAAGGGGGGAGGGGCAGAGGGAGAAGCAGGCTCCCGGCTGAGCAGAGAACCCAATGTGGGACTCAATCCCAGGACCCTGGGACCACGACCTGAGCCAAAGGCAGACGCTTAACTGACTGAGCCACCCAGGCACCCCTAAACATGTCCTTTATTGCTAACTGAGAAAAAAATAAGCTAGAATTCCTCAGATTTTGTCAACTAACTTAATCTGCTTTCAAAGTAATTATGTATTTCATCCAGAACCATATACTGACAAAGAGTCAGTGGCAACAATATGCATAAAATACAATCTTTATGACTTCTTGAAACCAGCAAAAAGTCAAATATAAATTATGACAGTAATTTTCTCAAGATCGGATACTTACACATCAGCCAAAACTATCCGTGTCCGTGTCACATTCTCTATGGTGAATTTGGTTTTTCCTCCTTTGCCAGCGATTCTTCCTATTGCCCTTGACAGGTGGTCTCCCTTTAGGGGTTTTACTAAATGAGAGAATCAAGGCCTCAGGAGGCAAGCAATTCCAGCACACCACCCACTCCATAATGAAGTTTAATCACTAACTAAATTTACCTACTAAAAGATACAAAAAATATATATTTTAAAACCTGCTAATTATACAGGTCAACTGATGCTATTAGAAAGCTAAAAGTCACTTACAATACAAAGTCAGCAGTAGAAAAGTACAATAGTTAATAGGAAAAGACCACCCTATACTCACCATCTGTAATTTCAAAAGACTCTAGGAAGAGGTCATCCAACCTAATGAGGGCAAGTGCATCCTACAACATAAAAATAAATGCTGTGAAGCCCTTACGTTTAGATACCTGAGAATAACTACTAAGTTAAAATTCACCAGACCTAGAAAACTCAAAGTTTTTTTAAAAAGCCCAAATCCACAGAAACATTCACGGACCCTGGGATCATGACCTGAGCCGAAGGTAACACTTAACCAACTGAGTCACCCAGGTGCCCCTCATATTAAGTGTTTTTAAGCACCTATTTTAGATGTCATGAAATCACTTACCTCCACCTGAAACCCAAGAATAAAGGCTTTCACAAAATCAGCTGCTTTTGTCAAGGCACTAACATCCTTGGTTTCTTTACAAGTCTGTTAAAAAAAAAAAAGGGCACATATTATGGCTGGAGATGAAAATACTCTAATACAACACGAGGACTGATGGCTAGCATATACTCGCCATTACATGCTGATGGTTCCTAATGCACTAACTCCAGGACTACCATGAATGGTTTAAGCAGGGATCTTGTCCTTAAAGGCTCTACTAGATAATTGCAGAAATAGCTACTATTCATAAAATCCCAACCACTAAAAGTGACACGTATCGCAAAGGTGCTTTACACACAACAGCCCTAATCTTCACGTCGACCCTGAATTCTTTTTTTTTAAGATTTTATTGATTTATTTGACAGAGAGAGACACAGCGAGAGAGGGAACACAAGCAGGGGGAGTGGGAGAGGGAGAAGCAGGCTTCCCACTGAGCAGGGAGCCTGACATGGGGCTCGATCCCAGGACCCTGGGATCATGACCTGAGCCGAAGGCAGGTGCTCAACAACTGAGCCACCCAGGCGCCCCTCGACCCTGAATATTAAGTAATATAAAAACTTTTATATTTGAGAAAACTGAAGTACTGAAAAGTGAAAAAGGCAGAATTCCGACACAGGTCTGATTCCAAAATTGTCATTTCCATTCTCGCACAAAAACTCAAATTTAGTTGAGGAGACCACATATTTGACAAATTTCAAACTTCACAGGTTGTGTAATACACATATAAAACTAGATTCCAGTTCCAATCCTGTATGTGACTTTGGGCAAGCCCCATAGATGCTCCAAGTCTTAGGTTTTCTCATTTGTAAAATAAAAAAGTCGGGGGTGGCGGGGGGTCCTTTCAGGACTAACAAGATTCACTTGTTAGTGAATGACTTTGATGACTCTGACTAACCTACTCCTTTGACTCAGTTTCCTCACATCTAAAGGATGGTGATATGACAACTACTTCACAGGCCTGTCTTAAAGATTAAAATGATGTAGTGCACGCCAAAGCACCACTATGTGCCTGGCATCCAGAAGCAGCAACGGGTGTGAGTGGAATCCAAACTGATGCCTCTGCAACACGTAGTAAGACAGCCAAGCACAGTAAGAGTGTAGACTCTGAAGACATGACTGAAACACAGACCAATCCTAAAGGAGAAAGCACTTGAGCCAGACTCCGAGAGATGACTGGAATTGAGGCTGGAAAAGAAAGAGTATGGAGGAGAGGGCTTTCTTCAGATGGCAAAGTCCCCCACAGGTATGGACACAAAAAGGTCAGAGTTGATGAGATGAACTTGGGACTTAGCTTCCTACTTAAAAGGCAAGTTCAGGGGCGCCTGAGTGGCTCAGTCGGTTAAGCGGTTAAGCATCTGCCTTCGGCTCAGGTCATGATCTCAGGGTCCTGGGATCGAGCCCCATAGCAGGGAGTCCGTTTCTCCTTCTCCCCGTGACCTCTCGCTCTCACTCTCTCAAATAAATAAATAAATAAAAATCTTTAATAAAAAAAAAAAGAAAAAGGGCAAGTTCAGTCAAAAACTTAGCTCTTACCCTTCAGAGATTTTGAAGATACCAGAGTACCATAGTGAAAGCAATGTGGTCCAGGAAAATTAATCTGGCACTGGCAGAGGAAGGACTGGTGAGAGAGATTTAAAGCAACGAAGCAAGGGAAACCTCTAAGGAAACAAGACGTTTTGGCACAAAACTACAAGAACCTGAAGAAAAAGGAGTTCTGCCAAGTTCCATATTTTAAACTTTACCAACTATTTAAAGCAGTGCCCCTCTGCTTTATTCCATTATTCTAGTTCAACAGAGATGAGTCTATACCAGTCCTGATGATGGTAGAAGAGCCCTCAAAATGGAAGATATAATTAATTTTGGTCATTGATTCTAATATAAAACGCACCCAGAAAAGGAAGCCCAAAGTCAATTAACATTGTCTAGCTTTTGAACTGACACCATGAAATGAATATATGTGTGTGCACAGCAAGCACTTTTATTTTCTATTTACGTATGTCTGTTTATGACCAGCTCTTTACTCAGCCTTGTCTCATTTCAACACACAACATCATAAAATACATGCACAGGCATAACCAGTATTTTGGTATGACCTTAGGTCCACCTTATGAATTCAACTAATATTTGTGTTGAATGCAGAATTTGAAGACATTCAAGAAGTTCGAACTCACTATACTATTTTAGAAGACTGTATAACGACAATTTAACAAAACAAGTCCCACTAAGGAAAGTCTATTCACTTCTTTTCACCCCTGTAGGAAAAAGAAACCCTAATATATTTGGAAATGGTTGACATTCTCCTTACCCTAATTTCTACATTCCTCGATTTCAAGTTAAACCGTATCTGAAGTCCCAAATGTTCTACAATAGGAGTAAATATCTTCATCCAGTTCTCTTTTAGTGGCGTGTATCTGTTAGCTGGGACTGGAATTTTCCTTGTTTCTTCTTTCCCACCCTACAATAGAAGAACACACAAGTCGGGAGATGTATTGGGATGGAGGTGGAGCTGTAAAATGACAGCTCTTCCACAAGAAGCTTTCTTTAACCGAACGAATTAAACTTCGTTCAGGAGAGTCACTTCTTGAAGGCCGTCACGAAAGAACGGCCCCCGCCCTTTCAACATCACCCAGGGACCACCGGCTTTGGCCCCGGCCCCGTTCCTGTCCCACGGGCCCCGCCAGTACCAGGAATCCATCCCCGGCGAGGGGCGGGAAAACCGGCCTCTTCGCGGGCCGGGCCTCCTCCGTGTCCATGCGGCCCGCCTCCCCTCCGTCCCCCGCCGCGGACAGCTGCTCAGCCTGCCGCTTCTTCGCCCGCCGCCCACCCTTGCGGGTGACTTGGGTGAAGCCGTCTTCGGCCCCGGCGCTCTGCGCTTCCATCTTCGTTTCCATCCCCAGGAATCTCCAGCTCCAACATGTGCTTCCGGCTAGAACGCGTTCGCCGCTGCACGGCGCAGGCGCGCCTCGCGGGGTCCAGCGTCCGCCAACCAGCCCCAGGGCTCCGCCCCGTTTCCTAAGAAGTCCCGCACAGGGGACCTGAAGCAGGGTTTCGTGCGTTTGCTGGGGATGTAGGGGAGGACATCCTAAAATATGCCTGATTCCTATGGTGCCCCTCTGGCTTCGCCACTCACAGCCGAAACAATTGCCATCTCCAATATGTGTACGTACGAAAGGCAGTAGGTAAAGACGATAAGCAAGTTTGTGCTGTCCGTGAAGAAAAATCTGGCGTGACTTCAGAAGCGCATCGGGCATTATCTGAGACAACTAAATCCAACTCGCCAGGGCGACAGGGGACGACTACGGCAAGTGGGAGGGGGAAACTGTCGTTAATGTTTGGAGTTTGGTTTCCCGGTTAGTGTTTTGTCAGGCTTTGGGTGTGCTGGTTGGTGGAGGGAGATCGGCTGGACCATGTCGGCCTTCGAGAAGCCTCAGATCATCGCCCATATCCAAAAGGGCCTCAACTACACGGTATTTGACTGTAAGTGGGTGCCCTGCAGCGCCAAGTTTGTGACCATGGGCAACTTCGCACGGGGCACCGGCGTCATTCAACTGTACGAGATCCAGCACGGGGACCTAAAGCTGCTTCGGGAGGTGGGTGCCGGGCGAGACTGCCCAGTTCCAGGCTTTGCCGTTGGTGAGGGGGCGAGTGAGGATTCGGGAGTGGGGGGAGTTTGCATTTCTTTTTGCCCCGGCCTTCGTCCAGCGTCCCCCAAAAGCACAGCTCGAGCTGCGCGGAATCCGCGAAGGTGATCGCAGATTGAGGAATACTGCCGACGTAAAACGCTTTGCTTCGAGTCCTGAATTCTCGGCTGGCCAGTTCATCTGTTCCCTGCTGGCCCCTTCCTGCAGCCACCCCTGCATTCCAGCGTGAGGTCTCTGGGAAGTGACATTAAGACTTCGTCTAAATTCGAGGTTCTTCTAGGCAGTGGGCAGTTGTTTGTGGGGAGTCGCTTTAATTAGGCCTGTGTTAGTAAAATGCTCTTTCGTACAAGCAGAGACAAGGCAGGCATGCACTGCATGTATGCCTGCACTGTAATTGGAGGAGACAACCTAACCATTATTATTTTTTAATATTTTCTTTATTTTTTTCATGAGAAACAGAGAGAGAGAGAGGTAGAGGCAGAGGAAGAAGCAGGCTCTCAGCGGAGCAGGGAGCCGGATGCGGGGCTCCATCCCAGGACCCTGGGATCACGACCTGAACCAAAGGCAGACGCTTAACGGATTGAGCCATCCAGGCGCCCCTTAACCGTTTATTCTTTCAATAAGTTATCAGTTGATTGCCTGGTATTCCCAGGCATATGAATGACAATGTCTCCGGTCTCATGGGGTTTATTTTCTAGTGGGAGAGAGAATCCGTTAAATAATCACCAACGATGCCTAAGTACAAACCGAGATGAATTCCCTAATATAAAGTTACACGGTTCTGTGAGAGTAAAAACAGATTTGGGATGAGTAGAAGCTAACTAGGCTAAAGTAGGAGTAGAGGAGGAGGAGGTTTCCAGAGGAAACAGCGTCAGTGGAAGCTTGGGAAGGGGAGCAGACTTTGCAAGGTTTGTAGGTCATTTAAAAGATGTACCCCTTTTTAAATGGTACATCACTGAAGGACTTTTAGCTGGGTGTGCCAAGATCAAGTTTGCAAGTTTTGTGATGATCATTAGGGAAAGACTTAGAATAATGATTTTTTTAAAAGATTTTATTTATTTACTTGACAGGGAGAGAGACAGCACAAGCAGGGGGAGCAGCAGAGGGAGAGGGAGAAGCAGGCTCTCAGCTGAGCAAGGAGCCCGATGTGGGGCTTGACCCCAGAACCCTGGGATCGCGACCTGAGTCGAAGGCAGAGGCTTAACGGACTGAGCCACCTAGGTGCCCCAGAGAATAATGATGTTAACTAACATTCTTACACTTGTTTTTAAAATGCGTTGATTTTGGGTGGTCAGCCATAATCAAGCAGTTAGGGTTGTAATAGACTACAGGGAAGGCTCCAGGGATTAAAAACTATGGAGAGAGTCTGCATGGACGAGAGAGGCATTAAACTGGCAGATAAAGGATGAATACAATTTGGACAGGCAAGCTTGGATGAGAAGGTATATAAGATCCCATCTCACTTTAAATTTCTATGAGTGCCAGTTTTCTTGTTCAGTTTGTCTTTTCAAGCCAGATACTCAGAGTTCCTAAACTTGGCTTGTTCTTTTCCACCTTGCCTTCTGTTGCTCACCAGTTAGCCCACAGGCACCTGTTGCTATTTTAGGGTCCAGTTCAGATTATTATTATTATTATTATTTTTAAAAGATTTTATTTATTTGACAGCGAGAGAGACAGTGAGAGAGGGAACACAAGCAGCGGGAGTGGGAGAGGGAGAAGCAGGCTTCCCCCGGAGCAGGAAGCCCGATGCGGGGGCTCAATCCCAGGACCCTGGGATCATGACCTGAGCCGAAGGCAGACGCTTAACGACTGAGCCACCCAGGCTCCCCAGTTCAGATTATTTGATTTAGGAAATCCCATCCTGATCCCTACACAAACTTCTTTACACTGCATTCCTCTGGTAATTATTATCTGCTCCAGAAATAAATAATTGTGTCCCATTTATCTCTAATTAGATTGTAAGCTCCTGGAGAGTAAGGATAGTGTCTATCATTAGTGTGGTTTGTAAGGTTCAGCCACTCAATAAATTACTTGTTAAAAGAATGAGTGAATGTATATCTGTAAAAGGATGTAACTTGGGAAATTTAAATATTGATTTGTTGATCATTAGTCAGCTGGCCTCAGGGTTTGAACAAATGGGAGACATTGGAATAGCAGACAGAAACTTACTGGTAAAGTATTAGGAACAAATACCAAATACCATCAAATTTCACCAGAGAGCATTTACCACTTGTGACTTTTTAAAAATAAAATATAATTTGTGTACATTTAAGGAATACACTTGTTCCACAAAGTGAAATAGTGCCCTTTGTCTCTATCTATTGGCAACCTACTATTTCAAGATACTATGTGAAAGAAGGACCAAAGATGCTTGAAAGATGAGTCCCTTCTTCTAAAGAGCCTCCTGTCTAAAGAGAGGGTTAAACTAATGCAAAAACACTTTTGAGAACTTAGATCGAGTGTGGCTGAGATGGTGCGATGGAAAAGGCTATGGGTGTGACAAAGGCTCAGTGATGCGCCACCCTTACTGTGTGTGCACGGGATCAGCCGAGTGTGTTCTGCTGTTGCTGTTGTTGTGTGTATGTGTGTTTTAAAATATTCATGCCTTGGTCCCACCTTAAGGAATTCTGATGCAGTGGGACTCTTGCGTCTACACTAGAGTGAGGCTTGGGTATCAGTATTTTTAAAACTTCAGTTAGGTGATTCTAACAGGCACCAGTGTTGACTACCATTGGGCTAGATGAATTATTGAAATCCTTGATTCTTCATTGTGGGACCACCTCAAGTCATGTGTTCCAAAGCCCATGCATCTAAGGTCAAAATGTGTGAAGGTTGCAAATGGGTCTTCGTTGATGGCTGCCTTCTCTTGTTACTAAAGACAGGGAGTGAGGGCCTTCATGTACAGTTGAGTAGTTTGCTCCATCACACTCAGGGTGCAGGGTTCGAGGAAAAGCTGCAATCTATTTCTTTCTCATCAAACTCTGCAAGTGTGAGACTTCCTCATTCTATAAAGAGCAGCTTTTCTCTAATTGGCACAAAGGACTAGGGGTGGCCCTGAAAAATGGAATCATAGTTGTGGATGTTTATACTGTAAAAATTAATAATAAGCTAATAAAGTTCTGCTTTTTTAGCTCCTGTGCCACTGAGTTCACTGCTTGTTACCATTTGGTTGACTAACCCTTTTAATGTTAATTAAAGTAGTGCCAGGATGTGGAGGAGGAAATACTGACAAGCTGTCCTAGACCCACCCACAGACAGAACAAGAATAGCTCTCATGGGAATTATCCATCATGGGCTTCCTTAATCATGTTCACTTACTGTAGCAAAGAAAACTAACAGCTAGGTCAAAAATGACCATCTATGATGTGTCATACAGCAAAAGTTATTAATATATACCAATTTTCTTTGTGGAACACATTTTGTAAAATCTTTTTAGCCAGTTTTTTTTTTTTTTTTTCCTAGCAAGAAAACTTTAAGTAACCCCTGGATTTTTTAAATCTTTCTTTTCAAAGGTAAAATATTTAACCAAAGCAGGGAGGGAGCCTTTTTATTAACTCTAAAAAATTGGCTTCACTCCGGTGCCCCTTCTTAAAGGTATTATGATTTCCATGAATATCTTAGCGAAAACACTCCTGCTTCTATAAGTCCATTTGCCAGCAGAGCTCAGCCCTTCTCAGCAAACTGCAATCCTCACTGTCATGCAGATGTTAAGATGTTTATACATTTGAGGTGTTTTTTTTTTTTAAGATTTTATTTATTTATTTGAGAGAGAGTACGAGCGAGGGAGTACAAGGAGGGGGAGCAGCAGAGGGAGAGGGAGAAGCAGACTTCCCACTGAGCAGGGAGCCCAATGCGGGGCTCTGCGGGGCTCGATCCCAGGACCCTGGGATCATGACCTGAGCTGAAGGCAGCCGCTTAACCGACTGAGCCACCCAGGTGCCCCTATATTTGAGTTATTTTTTTAATGTTTTTATATTTTGAGTTGAATTTGACTCTTGGCACAGCAGACTACTACTACCTATAAATCTCTATTTATTTTTTTTGGTATAAGGAGAAAAAAGAACATGAGGGAAGCATAAATACCATATATTAACATCTTGTAAAGATATGAATGAAGGTAAAAACCAAAGGACACAAATCTGAAAGTAGGTTCAGTTTGTGACTATACCATTTTCCTCACCAGTCCATTTCAAGGTTGGAACATGTCTTTGGTACTTTTGATGACTCTCAGGTTTATAGAATGGGGGCTACATACTAAACTTTATTTAATTGATTTACATGTAGGTCTGGGGGCAGCCTAGTTTAGTATAAAGAGCTTGGAGT